GCAGAGAGTGTATAACCTTGGCATTGGTTTATGTCACTTTCTAGTAAATGTAATGGAAGTACTATACTTGGAATACAGACACACTAAAAAAAAAAAACATCTTAGCCATTTAAAGATGTTCTTCTTTTGAGCGGAGTGCCCTGTACAAAAATGGAATAATGGAGCAGGAATAATGGCACTAATATAGTATTCATAAAGAGACTAGGAAACAGGCTGGGCCTTTTTAATTATGCATTTAAAGAGTAATTCATCAATGTTCACTCTTCTCCTCATTAGTTTTTTTATCTCAGCATCAGCTTTGCCTCTGCAGCTTAACAAACGTCATTGGTGTTGTTATACTGTCAGCTCTCCTGCTGTGTTGATACTGTTTTTCCTCTTAGTGCACTCTCCCTTTGACCTCACTCCTTCGACTCTATTCTCTTATCAGCAGCAAAGAGGCACTTTATCTGGGCTGTGCCAGGGAGCTATGCTCTCCACACCAGGAATAGTAACCCTGCGGGAATGTACTCCTTTGAAAAGTATTACTTAATTACTGCCTGCTTTTTCACTGATTTTCTTGAGGTTGTTGTACTTACTGGAATTTGTTTTACTCCCGTCACCCTCATTTTTCACTTCTGCACAGGTGTGAACTGGCAGGTAGATAGATGCAAATACACACACTCACACTGATGCATGCATGCACACACACACACACACACACAAAATGTGCTCCCCCTCATATATGGTTCTGTGTCAGGAACACTATGGCACCGACAGTGTAGTGAACATCCAGGGCTGTCGTCAACAAAACTGACTGTTTCCAGAACCCAACACCCTTCAGCTGCTCGTCTCCTGTCCCATCCCACCTGGATGAAGTACTCCTGAACTATTTTCTTGCAATGGTGTTGTGAATGGATGATATTTTCCAGGTTAATAATGAGTTGTTGATAATTCATTAACAGTTGAAAAAAAGAAAAAAACCATGGGCAGGAAGTGGTGTAAGAGAGTAAGAGAAAGACAGACAAGAAGTTGTCACAGCTGGAGAAAGAGTCCATGATCTTCTGCTCACAGCACTTTGCCCCTAGGTTGTTTACCTTAAACAATCAGCTGTCTTGCTGCCCTTATGTCTGCAGTTGATGTATATTCCCTGGTGCTACATAACAATTTACATTACACATCATGTGAGTTACAAGTTAGTTAATTTAGTTAGTTTATTTAACACAGCGAATAGTACGTAAGATCTTTACTGAATAAAAAGCCACAGTAGTACTAGTACTATCCTTGTTACAACGATCTGTCTGGATCATGTTGTGTCACCCAGTGCATCAGGTTTCCCTCACACAGGTTCAGGAACATGTACCAGGAAGTCATAGGTTGTTGGTGTCATTTTTTTCCCTGAGAGGGTCATTGTATTACACAAAAGGAAATTCACAGCCTCGTCATTCTGTGTAATCATAATTGTTTTATTGTAACATAAAGGGAACAAGTGGTAATAAAGATACTGAAAAAAGTTACAAGTACATTTTTGTCTCTTCATAGGTTAGGCCTATTAAGTAAACTTTTAGAGAAAATATTAACTGCAAGTCCCTCTTCTCAGTAAAATAGTTTGTGTACAGACATTATAATGACAGTGTCTTTTGTGGCCTGCTCTGAATGCTTGTTCATTTCTCACACTGTAAACCATTATCTGGGCCGTTTGAAAGCCAAAGTCCATGGCCAAAGTGCAAACATACAGGGTGTGTGAGGAAAAGGGCACACGAGTGTACTCTGTACGACCAATTCCTGAAAGTCGGCGCAAGGACATTAGATCTTTACATATGAGAGGAAGGAGTCAGCAAGACGTCTTATATGACATATTACGTATATACATATACATATATTATGTGTGTTGCTCTTATGTCATTTTCTCCTGACGATGCCAGCGCTGCACACCAATTTGATTTAGAGGTAAAGGACTTGAACATTGACTAAACAATATGAGTGCAGGGTTGAACAAGCATTTATGCTGCGTGTAAAGAAAATAAAGACACCATTGTACTTTATTACAGGCATCAGTACTCTGATGTTAAATTACGCAAAATGTATCCATTTTTGTTTTTAAACAAAGAAGAAAACATTGTCAGAAAAAAATGTTCTGTCATTAAACTAGGCTTATGTTTTAGAAAATAAAGTCTCTATTTCTAAACAATTGAATTCATTATCTAATTCCAGTCAGGTTGGTTATGAAGACGCCTGGTCAGTATGACTGAGGAAAAGACGTGTACGTGTGATTTCCACATGAATCACAAATGTGTCCCTTAATGTTGAGATTAGACAACAGCCATGTGATAATTACATATCTAATTCTGTGAGTTTCAACTGCCTGTCTACGTCATACCTTGGTGGAGTTAATCAATCATTAGCAAAACCAGCTGCATAACTCAGGTTCTCCCCAGCCTGAAGCTTACGCGACAACAGCATGAGTTCACCGAGAGGAGTGAAAAATGTAGACATCATCACAAAACACGAGGCCTTTTTGCTGTGTTAATCAGAGGCTCAGCAGCAGATGTCTCTGTCCTGCTGCTCTGCTGAGGTCAGATTGCCTGAATAATGACTGCTATCTCGACCCTACATGTTGACATTCATAACTAACCCTCATCGTTTCAAAACCACCTCGGTGTGCTGACCATTTGCTAAGGTGGACCACAAACATGCATGCTGTGCTTTCTATGCCATGTTCCCATAGTGCAGTTGAGGTCAGACTTGAGGACACGCACAGGCACGTTTGTTTTTTGTATACAAGAGTTTAACCTTGAAATATTTTTGCTGGTTTACTTACATTATGAAAACAGTAGATTGTCTATTTTCATTGTTTTGAGCTGGGGGATATAGTATAGGAGTTTAACTATGCATCACTAATTCTACATATGGCTATAACAGAAAGACTACAGAAGCATCGTTGATCTTTCAATTTGGGGTGAGATCCACTAGATTTTCTAAATACTTGAATCCTGGTTTGTCAGATTTACCTTTAAGGTAAATTTGTACAAAGGATTTAGACAAAGGAATAAGACACGGACAACTGGAACTACATCTTGGAGACACTGATATGTTTAAAATGTTTAAACAAGGAACCTCGGTGTGATTGCTTGTGTTTGTGTACCAACATGTTTCATGATGTGATGGGCTTTTAGGTAGTTTCAGCTAGTCTGAGAATGTTGTTTTGTGTGCCACTGGAGGTCAACTGTGTATTTGGATTGTCGTCTGTGCTTTAATAAGGGCATAAGAAAGAAAATTCTTACCAGACAGAAGTGCTAAAAGCAGGCATTTACTGATAAAATCTAACTTTTTAGATCTGTGAATATATTTGGATTGACTCTTTTTGAAGGAAACCTAAGTAGCTGTGTGAACTTGTATGTTTTTAAATCTGTGTTTCTGTGTGTGTGTGTCTCTGTGTCCATGAGTGGCCTTCAGGGACTGTGACATTCTTTCTTTCTCAACTGTCTCTGTTGTGTGATCTGGCCTTTCATATGGCTCAGATAGAGGGATGCATTAGATGAAACGAAGTCATGGAAGAGTGAAATGGGACGTGCCGGGTTACTTACCTTCTATGCATGATTGCACCGCAGCCCTTGTGTTGGTTGATGGAAGGAGGTATGTGTGTGTGTGTGTGTGTGTGTGTGTGCATGCACGTGTGCTATCCACCTGTGTGCACTCACCGCTCGTCTTTGTAGTTGTGTCTATGTTCACTGTGATAAAAATGTTCTCGACGGTTCCGGTGTTGAAATTCATCTTTGGATCTGATACAGTCCTGTGAGGCTACACTACTCCAACCAGGTTTTTTGTTTTTTGTTTTTTTTTGCATTTTTGGCTTCAGATCAAGGTTAATGCTGGCAAAGATGTGGCAAATGTGTACACACCATACTCGTGCCTCATGGGAACTGCAATGTGAGACTGTCGCTCTTTCTCTGGACAATTGATCCTTTGTTTTGGTTTCCAGGGATAGAGGAAGAGTGGTGGGGTGGTACCTGTCAGAAAGAAGCCAGGCTGAGTGGATATTCTGCCCGTACAACACACAGTTTAGGGGAAATAACACGCAATCACACCAGAGCTCCATTTATAGATCACTTATGCCTAAAATGTAACACAGGCGTAAAACATTAAACATTTTTAAACAAAAAAAATAACATCAGATACAGACAGACGCTGATGTTGATCAAGTCGAGAGCACCAAACACAGACAGACATGTTAATGATTAGCTTATATTATACTGGTTATCTACTTCAGAGCCAAGGTCCGGTTTTGCCTCCCAATACAGTGCAGCCTTGTTCTGGTATTACAGTATAACAATATAGTGAGCAGAAATGCTGGAAATATTTTCAGATTACATTTTCTCTGTTTTAAAGCTGTGGTTTTGAACTTTGAGAGTACTTTTCATACTGAAGAAATAGAAAATTGGAATTTTACTTAATATTGGTTAATTGTTAGATACAAAATGTCGTGTCAGTGTTCAGGTTGTTTTTTTTTAACCTGACCAAAATTTGTATTTTTCACATTTATTGAAGAATGTATTATTTTCATCTATAGAAGTTAATTGCAAAAATATTTAAACTGTGAGCTTCACTGACATCAGTGACACTAGTGGCTCTTTAAACGCATACGTCGGCAACTCTGCCAGGCCATGTTTGGCATCTGGAGACTAATTTGTGTACAGCACTGGATCAGAGCATGGATGAAGGAGTGTGTATTCCACCAAGTCTGTGTGTGTGTGTGTGTGGTGTCGCACCTGTTTAACCTGAGGGAAACTGCAGGGATCAGCATCCTGTCTGTGTTAAACACAGACTGCCTGCAGTGATGCCTAAGGCTAAGTTTTTTTTTTTTACTGATTCTCCTGGATCTACGTGATGCTTTATAATGTCAACCTGAATAACAATATCTAGTCAAGCAAGGTGTAACAAATAACCAACTTCCTTTATTATTCTTCCTGCTTTTGTCTTCCTTCTGTATTTTTTCTAACCGCTTTGTGTATTTTATTTTGCAGAAGAAGCTGATTACACATTTGGAACTGACACTCTGACCAGGAAGAAGAACACGGTACTCTCTGCTGTTCTATTAAGGCCTGACGCCAACAGGAAAAAACCTCCCGTCATCATTAGCCTGCCCAAAGACTTCCGACCTGTGTCCTCCATCATCGACGTGGACATTCTCCCCGAGTCGCACCGACGGGTCCGTCTGTATAAGCATGGCCAGGAGAAACCTCTCGGCTTCTACATCCGTGATGGCTCCAGTGTACGGGTCACTCCGCAGGGCCTGGAGAAGGTTCCAGGTATTTTTATCTCTCGCATGGTTCCTGGTGGTCTCGCAGAGAGCACTGGTCTGCTAGCCGTTAACGATGAGGTTCTGGAGGTGAATGGTATTGAGGTTGGTGGGAAGTCCTTGGACCAAGTGACGGACATGATGATCGCCAACAGCCACAACCTCATCATCACTGTGAAGCCAGCAAACCAGCGGAACAACGTGGTGCGCAGCGGAGGAGGGGCAGCATCTGGAAGTTCGGGTCGTTCTTCAGATAGTGGTGCCAGCTACTACGGCTACTCACACGGCAGTGGCATCGCAGCCTCTATGCCCACGCACATCATCCAGAACTTCCCAGTTGACGAGTTGGATAGTGATGAGGAGGAGGAGGACTTGGTGATCGAAGTGGGAGGGGAGGCTGATCCAGTCAGACGCTTGTCCTCCCAATACAGCATGCCTCCTCCGCCCAGGTACGAGCCCCATCTTAACCTCCGCACCACCTCTAACACCACCATCTCCAACTCCACCTCCACCCATTCCATCGACACCAACGGGACCCTGGCTGTTGACGGAAGCAATGGATCACTGAGCTACGTCAACAACACTAACACAACTCCATCTCTGGACAGACCCTTGGAGAGGCGGAACCTGGAGGAGGACGGTACTGTTATAACACTGTAGACAACACTGGAATCAAAACACACAACTGTGACTTTATCAATCACACAGATACCAACACAAACAAATACAGAAACAAAAACACCAACAGAGTCATGGAGCAGCAGCAGTTTAATTGACGTGAAATTCATCTTTTGTGCTCCATATTATTGTGACTCTGTACCTGACAAGCACAAGGATGTGCCTGTTCACTTTTAAAATAATGACAGCTTCATGTTTTTTAACTTACATGTGATATACCCGTGTACACTGCAGCCGTTCATGCCAATTCATTTACATGTGTGCCACGGGTGATATCCACCCCGTTTTATTTAAGACACATCAATTATAAGGATGTAGCTGTTCAAGAAGCCCTACACATGTTTTGTTAAGTAAAAAAAAACATAGAATTTTAATTGGCCTTGTCCTGAAGAGCTCAGTTCTCAGTTACTATTCCCATAAACAGAAATTCCCTATAGAAGAAAATACAGTAAAGCAGTGTCTGAAGCACAGGCCCGAACTGTTTTTGTGCCTTATCTGTCATTTTTGTCATTAATTGGCTTTGGATTTTACACAAAATATTGTATCCTACAACACCTTAAATGAGTAATAATGATTATAGAGACTCTTCTAGATATAGGGGGAAAACAATTACAATATTGAGTAAAGATCTAATTGTGTGGATATCGCTTCAGCATAGTTTCTATCCTTCTTTACCTTCCCCTTTTTATAAACTAGATGTATGCAATTTTCCCCCATTGACATTGACAGAGTTGCCTGTCAACAACTTGAGATACCCAATTAAAATTTTAATAATATAGACTATCATGATCATTTTTTTGTAAATCTTAGATGTTTTTGACTGGCAGATGGACCTTATTCAGAGTGCAACCACTAAAAACACTTCTGTTTAAAATGCAGTTCTAACACTTAGCTACCGCTAGAGGACAGTGATGAACCAAATAACCTCGGTTAAGTGTAATTGTGGTACTTGTACGCCTGACAAAATCAATGAATCCTTTTTGGTGATGTGGTGGTAAAGGTCAACATTTATGACTCTTTCCACACAGTCTGATACAACAGGTGAAAAATACATCCTCAATAAGAACTTTTTCTAAAAAAAAAAGAAAGAAAGAAAAGAACAACCCTTGTTAATGAACACTGGGCTCTTTGTATTTGTGTTTTTTTTTTGGACCAGATGCTGTTTTCCACTGTAAATGACTGACTGACTGAAGATTTGATTTTTTTTTAAAATTCATTCTCTCTGATTAAACTTGTACTTTTAAAAAAGGAATCCCTTAAATGGCAGGCCTGTGATTTAAGACGTAATTTTAATTTATTTCTTTGTGTATCGTCCTTAATACAGCAATACTTGTATGTAATGGGTGACGGCTTGAACATGTAGAGTCATATCTGACCAACTGGGAGTTGCATGTCTCTTGTACAGAGCACACTGTGCTTTCTCTCCATGACAAGGGTTTCTTTTCCCTGCTGTGTCTAACAAATGACAAAATGTGACTTTGATTTCTCCCTCGTTGTGTTTCTTTGTATGTTTTCCTCTTTGTCTCTGGACCATGACATCTGTTGCTTAAGTTAATCATTTGATTTTCAAATCTTATTTTTTGCTAGTCATCTTATATAGACCACGACTTCCAGAACAGTTAAGGACATTTGAGTGGTGTTTAAATGACATACACTGTCAAACTGGTGACTATATGAACGCTGAGGTCATCATGAGTGAAAAAAGATGAATTCAAAAGATCACATATGGAGAGGGACCATAACAAACTCTAAAAAACAAAGACATTACAAGTTTAAAACTGCAGGAAATGCATACATTCTCATTAGTCAACCAGAACTTTGTAAACCAGAAGGCAACTGTCTCACATCAGAACAAAGTTCCAGTTAATTCAGCAGGTTCCTAAACAGTTAAAGTGCAAATGCATTACATGCTGCTTTTTTTCTGCCTCTCTAGAGCTGCAGTAATGTTGCTATTGATTTTTTTTTTAAACTTTTCTATTTCAGCAGCGATAATTAGCATTACTGCCCACCTAAGCCTAGTTGGTCAGGATGTACTGTCATCTTCAGTAATGTCTGATGAGCCCATATCCATATTAAGGACTGATTATGAGAGAGTAAGCTAGCCATTCACATTTACAATCTGTCAAACCCTGCGAGTAGACCAAAGGTGGCAGTGGACCATCAGGAGGTGACTCGACTAGTTCTTATATTTTTTTTTTTGCATTCTACATGTGCTAGAACACCCTGATGGTTAGTTGGAAAAGTCATCATGAAAGTGGAACTAAAAGCTCATGTTCGTCTGACTCCATACACGGACTGAGATTAACTCCTTCTAAGTTTTTTCAGCATCTGTTAAACCTTGTGTAAAATATTTGTGACTGGAACCACACTACAGTTCATGTAAAAACAAAGTACACACACCACTGTATTTCAAACCATGTGATGAACATACTATCTTTATTTCAGTCCTTCAGGCTTCTTTTTTTTCATCAAGAATGGCCTTTAGGTATGTATTTATTTTGTTTGTCTCTAACTTTACAACAGGACACTGAGATTGTAACTCAGCGGCATTTGTTATTTATTCTCTAGTCATGAGTCTGCATATTGTTGTCCATACACATTATTTTTATGTTTTCATGGTACGACCGATATAAATTCCTGACAGATTGTGTTTTTACTGCTGAAGCTAAAGCAGTGGGAAGATCTCTGAGAGACATGAACTTGTAAAAATATGATTTATTTTTTCCATACTGTGAATTATCATTCTTATTTTTGTGGGAGAAAAACACTTGTATCAGCACAAATTCAAAAGAGACTACTTCTTTTCCCCCTTTGTCTGTTCTTTTTTTTCTTTAAGTGATTAAACATTGTATTTTTTTTCTTTTTCTTGCTACAGATAAATCATTTGGTATAGATTTATAATAAAGATTGTCAGTATTTTCTTATATATGGTGTAAATTTCTATCACATTTAATGGAAATGTTTTAAATTTCAAATAAAAATGTACCATTAGATAGATGTACACAAATGTCTGATTTAAGGAGGTGGATGAAATAAACTAATGTGTAGCAATACTCTGTTGTCTGTCATGTCCAAACGGGAATTAAGATTTAAAATGTTTTATGATGTTTAAATCCTCATATTAGTGAGGTGATGCCATTGTCATGTCGTTTGCAAGTTTAGGCAGTCGAGGAATTCAGCCTCTAAATATTCTGCTGAACACACAAGGGCATACTCCTGTCTTACAAATATATTAACAGATAATTGTGAATACCATTGTGACGTCGGAAGGCCTTGTATTTAAATGATGATTTTTTTTAATTGAGTCAACGATCTTTCTGGAAGCCAGCAGGGGGCGGTAATTTTTTTAAAAGTTTGAAGACACGTACACGTATACGTTCTTATAGTTCTTTATTGCCATCTGCAGGACATTTTAATAAATGCATCATTTCCCAGCTTGCGCTGCATATGATGCTTCCGCCATCAAAGTTCTCGCTCTTTGTTTCGCTGACGATTATCGAGGTAATGCCGTAGTTACCGCTTTACCCCGGTCCCTCGATAACCGTGAACTTTAATGCGTAATGTAGTTTTAAATATCGTATAAAAACTATCTATAGTAATAAGTTTGTGTGTTCGAGTGTATTACACGTATCACAATGCGAATACACACAGCTGAGGATCATGTGACATTGTGACGTGTAGGCAACATGGCGGCGCTGAGCTAAGGTAGCAGCAGTAGAGCCTACACTGACTGGACACAGATCGCCGGGCTTTTAGCGTTTACCCGTCACCTGCTCGTTGGTCCACAGCAGGCTCAGGCCGGACATGACGGCCTGAGAGAGGAGCGAGAGATGCAGAAACATCAACAAGTATACTTAGAGTGGCCACAACAACAGCAACAGCAGCAGCAGTCCTTAGAGGCAAAGACAGAAAAGTGTAAAACCAAGAGCATGTTTCTGTCCAGGGCACTGGAGAAAATCCTCGCTGACAAGGAGGTGAAGAGGAATCAACACAGTCAGCTACGGAAAGCCTGTCAGGTGGCGCTCGGTACGTTCAATTTTATTGCTTTACACATACGAAACGCGTTATTGTGAAAACATATCGTGTCGTTGGTTTGACTTGTCAACGCAGAGGAGGCTAACAGTGCTAAGTAGCTTAAGCTTTTAGCTTTTTAGCATCTAGTGTCAATCGAAGGCTTGGCGTTTGCTGGCTGCGTGGAATTTCTGTGTGTTTTTAGCATTAAAATGGGTTCCGTGCTGCAAAAGGAGATAATGTTGTCGCTGATTTGTTATAGCACCAGCGTCGCCAACTGTCAACGTCGGCACGTAAAGTTAGCTAGCTAACATTAGCTGGTTCGTTAGCCTTCTGAACAGACCAATCCTCATGCTGAACGTAGCGCTGTCAGGCTTCATTCAGTCACGTAGGCTGAGTGACTGACAGGATAGCGTCTCACAACTTCTGCCATTATCACGATGGCAAGCTGTGACTATACTTTTCTGTGGTAACGCAGTTAATGTGACAACACAGCCGGTTCCTGCTCTGGGGGTGTTTGCTGTGACAGCTGTACACTGACTGTTCTCTGTGGCCTGGATGGTTCTTATAGGCCTCGCACTGACAGGACAACAATCAGACTGTTTACACATCAAACCAGTTTTCTTTGAATTTTGTTGAAGGATTTGTCCCATTTTATAGAACCCTGTGTGTTTTCGTGTAACTGGTATTTTATTTAACATATATATGAGGCAACTAAAATATCAAATTTCTGTTATTGATCCATTGAAAAGGACACGTGTTTGTGTGGCTGTCATTTCAGAGGGCATTCGGGTTTGCATTCAAATCTGAGTTGGGTTTTAGTGACAACTGAATTACATTAGAGTTATGTAGCGCATTCTGTAATGTTTTGATGCAGCGAAGCCAGTTTTCCAACATATGGATTACCCAGGAAATGTTCATTGTCAGAGTTAAATCATATGTCATGTGGTCATTATTTGAATGATTTGTCAGGAGAAAGCAAGTCACTGTGCGTTGTGCTCTGATGTAAGCCACCGTGAAAATACATGTTCCGTCTAAGATTAGAACAGGGGTCAGAATCTGACTGTACTCCATGTAAATTCAATTCACAATACCATTGTCTTTTCTCTTGCCATTCTGTTCCTGCCGACTAGGTTGTCTGTGGTATGATGACTAAAAATGCAGCGGTTTGGTCTTAAGCCAAAAAAACAAACAAACCACAATTTCAGTGTAAAATATCCCAGTAACTGTAGCTTTCAGTGCCAAATAGTCTCAGTTTAATACTTGTCGTGGCTTTTGTCCTTTAAAAACTTTTAAAGGTTTTGTCTGTATCCTTGTGCAATTATTTACACATGGTGCTGATTACAATAGAAAACTATTTCTCCCATTGTTGTTTTTTTTTTTTTTTTTACTTTGCAAAGGGAAGAGTCCTGCACTATGTCTTGAGCGTGTGTCTTGATAGGGAGATAAGGATGTATCTCCATTTTTTCCCCTGTATCCGTGTTTAATAGTATCACAGACGTAGGCTCGCCCACATTGTCAACAAGTCATTTTATACTGGCAGGTATGCTGCAGTTTCAACTCACAAATCTGGCTTTTTGGCTTGGGTTTGACTGGAGGTCAGTCTTCATGATAAGCTCTCATTCTAAAGACTGAAGTGATTAATTACAGAGAGGCTCTCAAAGTATCCAGAGACATACTGTAAAACCTTATGGAAATGCTCAGTAAAAGCATGCTTCAGTTCCTATGTGGCACAGAAGCTCTGTGGAAAAGTACTCTGCAGTTTGGAGGCTGCTGTTACAGCAAGCAGTTTCAAAGCCGTTCTTGTTCAATGTCCATCGTTCACAAAATCTGTTCAAACAGATAGATTGATAGATCTATAATCAGAGCAGAGCGCAGAAATCCCCACCTTCAGCAATCTTTGTTTGGATATATTATTTGGTTCTAAGCCCTTCAGAGAAAATATTACTCTTTTAGGAGTTGCTCTTGTGCTGAATACACTATGTTGTAGTAGTCCAAGAGAGAACATTTAGCAGGCCAGTAGGTGTCCAAAAGTGGATGTGAGAATTTTAAATTAAATTTTAATATTATTTTATTTATTTGAATTTGTACTGTGCATTGTTGGGATATGTAAAATAAATATAATTTATGTATTATTATTTTATATTATAAATATACATTTTGTAATTGATGATTGATTTATTCTTTGAAACATTTATATTAAGTTGATGCTATTACAATGCCTTGATGTTATTGAGGTTTAGTACACAGTCATAGCCTGAATGGTACTAATAATCTATCTATCTATCCATCCATCTAGCCATCTATCCATCCATCCATCCATCCATCCATCCATCCCTATATATAGTCAGAATATAGCACATACAGAATTGCAGTTATTGCATCATTAATGCATGCATTCTCCTCTACACCATCATAAAACAATGACCTGCAGTCAGAGTGGTGGATTAGTTCAAACATTAAATGTTCAAATGTACGCTCGCCCACAGGGTTTCCTGATAAGAACTCATTTTATGGTGTATGTATACTCATCATTTTGCCGACATCTGTGCTACAGTGTGCGTGTGACACTCAGGCCTTAATCAAACTCGTACCTGTACGGCTACATTAAGCTGCTATTCCAAGGCAGACGGCGGAAATGAACTCGGTCATAAAGTTTGTCTTTGAACCGCAGGGAAGGACTGCAATGGAGTCTGTGAGTTTGTCTGCGTTCTACCGTGACGCTCTGTCATTATTCATGACACCAGTAGAACACAACACGACCACAGCAGGTCAAGCTACCTACCTGGGCTGCACGGTGCTAACCATGACAGCACTGCTGTTGTCCTTTCCTTTTTAATAAAATTAAAAATCAGTCTACAGATTTAGGTTTAACTACATTTTTACACATATATATCATGTTTTCCAGGATTGAGGTTTGTAGGTAACATTTTAACTGCTGTTTCTCCATGATGTTCCACTGAAATAGCGGCTGCATTATTAGGAATGCTCTGTAATGTGGTTCACTGTTGATCTGTGCAAACCCAGACCTGAGTTAGCGTCTTTCCGACGAGTCGCCCCGTGGTATAAGAAGATTTAGTAAAGGTTATCGGAGTCAGCTGTTGTGCTGAAATCACAAATTCATAGGTGTTACATTGAAAAAAAGGGGGAAAAAAATCACAAATGTGATGTCGGATTTTAAGGACAAACTAATGTTTTTATACCGCAGGTTTTATTTAAGACGCTCACTTTTATTCTCCTGTGTCCTTTCTAGATGAAATCAAGGCCGAACTGGAAAAACAAAAGTGAGTATTTTCATATTGTTCCAAGCCTCAATGTTTAAAAAATTAATATAGAAATTTTGAATGTTATTAATGTTCTTGTATTGTTATGGTGAACTCAGGTTTGTAGCAGGCAGTAAATCATGGCTGGTCTGGGAGATTTGTGACTTGCTTTTTACTAACTCTCCCAAACTACTACCTTGTTGATTTGTACCGTATGTCAGCAGAAGTGCAGTCGCTCTCTAGGTGATGTCGCCGCACCAAGCTGTCCCAAAAAGATAGGCAGTGGCGCTTATCTAAAGTTTAACAGTAAACGGCCGAGGATTCAAATTCCTAATAATAATTGGTGATAACTGGGTTCACACACAAACTTGATTTATGCGTGTTTTCTAGTGGATTACTGTGAAGCGGTTCTGGTGGAGCCACGAGTCATTTTTCCTCTTCTCTCACTGCAGGGACGGCACCGTGGTGACTCCCAAGGTCAACTACATCGAGGCTGACAAATATGTGCTGCCCTTTGAGCTGGCCTGTCAGTCCAAGTCTCCTCGGATAGTGAGCACCTCTTTGGACTGTCTGCAGGTTAGTAATTCACACACACACACACACACACACTCACACGCGCACACACACAGTTACACCCAGCAGATCACTTTCACTTAATGACTAATTCACTCGGGCCCACCTGGAGGTGTGGTGGTTTTTGGGGGGGGGAGGGAAAAAAATCTAGATGCACCTGCTTTGCATGTCGGACAAGTCCAGGGAACAGTGGATCCGCATTCCACATAGACACCGTTGACGGTTGCCTGCATGAATTTACTTTGAAGAATCCCCAATTACTGCGAATGTTGTACAGTAAATAAAGCCAAATTTATGATCACAAATACACATGGATGATATATTTTGTACACACCCATTCATTTCAGTAAAATATTAATATTACATGGAATATACTGTATATTGTGGCTGGACATATTTGACTCTTATTTACATACAATCCAGCATGAAAAAAGTGCAAACAAAAAGGTTTAAGGTTTCAGAAAAAAAACAAATCTTGTTTCTTTTTTTTGTTAATATTCTAATAATAAATATAATGTATTATATATTTTATCATTTGTTATATCACTATTATATAATGTATCTTTTTCATAATTACTATTATAAATATATATAATTTATAATAGTAATAATTCATCAAGCAGGGCTGGATTGAGCTCTCTAATGGGACGGTTTTGGCCCGCGGGCCATGTGTTTGAGACCGCTGGCCTAGATGTTAAAGCTAAATCAAAGAGTTCTGCTCTAACTGCTGCTCCTTTTGCTCCACCGTAGAAGCTGATCGCTTACGGACACATCACGGGAAATGCCCCCGACAGCAAAACCCCGGGCAAAAGGCTGATCGACCGACTGCTGGAAACCATCTGCAACTGTTTCCAGGGTCCACAGACCGACGAGGGGGTCCAGCTACAGATCATCAAGGTAGTGTCTGAAGTCTGAAATCCCACTGTCAGTCATCATATTTGATACTTGATACGTCATTGTCTTCACTGGTTTTGTGATTGTGGCCAGATCTAGTTATAAAAGTCTGCTTTTATTCGGCGACTGTTCTCTGAGAACTTCTCTCAGGTCTTTCAACCCAAATTTTTGAACCTAATCTGGCCAGAAAGTCCGTCAGACGGGCAGCACATGTTCCATTCCACTGATTATTTGAGGGGTTTTTTTGTATCAGAATCTGCTCTTGAGTCGGGACATCCATTTTCAGCTCTTTTCAAACCATTTTTTTCTTCCACACTAAGGTAGTCATTGTGCTTCTTCCTACGGATGGCTTGATAGAACCTTTTCATGTCCGATACGGTATCTGCCGTTACCGATATCAATCCGATACCACAGGCTGCCAAGGCAAAAATGTCTCTGTTTACAGCATGTTACGCAAAGTTAAGTTAAGCATTTGGGCTCAGGCATCAGATCGGACGAGTTGTAGTTAGTTTTTTTGTTTTACCAACGTCCGACCGATTCCGATCTTGAGTATGGGATCGAGCCATCACTACTTCTTTCTATCTTTTAGTACTGATATATTTTAATTTATGAAAGAAAAGAAGCTGAGAAAAGTCCTGTAAAATCAATAGACTTATTCAGCCTTTTATAAACACTTATATTTTGACACAGTTTCAAATTCTTAATTCATCTGACTTTGATTTAGGTTTAAAAATGACACTTTGCTCAAATCTGCCGCGGTGGCTCATGCTCAATTATAGACGCCCACATCCTATTTGCTGACAATTTCTAGTGACTGATCAGTGTACAGTCTGGTCCACTGACCTGGATCACTGACATTTATCACTGTTGACCAAAGATTTTGAGGTCAGATCGTTGACGTGAGTCTGTCCTCTGCTCACCTCTGAGGGACACGTGGCTGTAAATGTGACAGCGTTGACTTCAATAGCAGAACGATGAGTCAATGCACGGACAACGTTGTTGTTTTTTTTTTGGTGAATAAGGAATCAAATGATATACCTTTTGCAAAATGAATGTTTTGGTGAAAGTTTTTTTTTTTAATAGCAAAGTAACTAAGGAATCAAATGATATACCTTTTGCATTCGAACCCTGTATGAAGTGCTGCCCTCCCTCCGTCTCTCTGACCAGGCCCTGCTGACCGCGGTCACCTCGCCACATATAGAGATCCACGAGGGTACGGTTCTTCTCACCGTCAGGACCTGCTACAACATCTACCTGGCCAGTCGCAACCTTATCAACCAGACCACAGCCAAAGCCACGCTCACGCAGATGCTCAACGTCATCTTCACACGTGTGGAGAACCAGGCGGTTGGTCTTCATTTCTGGACTTGGACATGTCAATAGATGATGCTGTTTTAGATGATTAATCACAAGGAAGTTTTGGATTAATCATGATTAGTCATGCTTAATTGGTACTGTAATTAATCATGATTAATCGTGATCAATCCATATCAGTAATATGGAACAACTATAACATATATGAAATAATAACATATGTAATCAAAATGTGCAAAATTAAAGCTTAAAATTGATAGAGTTGGTGGATTCAAGTTATTACTCTACATCTTCTCCTTCGTAGATCCTGGAGGCTCAGGAGCAGGAGAAGGACCGGCTGCGACCACCACAGCAGAACCCATCTCCAGTACCAGGTAATCGGGGAGCGGGCTCCCCCTGGTCCGACCGGACACCCACTCCTGAGGCTCCAGGCTCCCCATCTCCAGCAGCCAGTACTCCAGACCTCAGTACCACCAATGTCCACAGCTCCCCAAACCCACCGTC